TACAAGGAGATTTTGCAGAGGTGTCTGGAGGAGAGCTGGACCATAAAGAAGGCTGAGCACTGAAGAATTGATGGTTTTGAACTGTGGTATTGGAGAGGACTCTTGAGGTTCCCTTGAACTGCAAGGAGATCAAACCAGTCAATCCTAAAAGAAGTCAACCCTAAATATTCACTGGAAGGACTGATGCTAAAGCTGAAGCTCTAATACTTTGGCCACCTGATACGAAGAGCCGACTCATTAGAAAAGACCAAGATGCTGGGAAGGATTGAAGGCAGGAAGAGAAGGGGATGACAGAGGATGAGATGGTTGGATGGCATCACCAGTTCAATGGACATGAGCTTAAGCAAACTCCAGGAGCTGGTGATGGACAGGGAGGCCTGGCGTGCTGCAGTCCATGGGGTCGCAAAGAGTTGGACACAACGGAGCAACTCAACAACAGCAACAACTGTAGGATGGGCTGAGGGGACCACCAGGAACAGTGCAGGACCCCAGCCTGACAGTGACAGAGCTGTTACCACCTCAGGCCTAAGGAGGAAGCAGCAATAGAACTGAGAAGATTGGAGGGTCCTGGAGAGGCCCCTCCCTCGAGTCTGGATCCCCTCTGGTCTGGGAGAGATCCAGCTGGAGACAGCCTCCCAGGGAGAGAGCAGGGGAATAAATATTCCAAACTCATCCCCAAACTCTGGAAACCAGAGGACTGAGCCCTCGCCCCATCTTCATGGCCAACCACACACCCTCCCCTGACATCATCCCTCTTCTTGAATCGGTCTACCTTCTTGTGTCTGTGGCCCTCAGTTCCCCTTTGCCAGATGAGCGAACTTTGATCCCTAGAACTTACTGCCTTCCAGCCATCATTACTGTTGACTTAGAGTGGTCAGTTTCTCTTGGGCCAGAAACCCTTCATGGCAATGAAGAGAATGGTGAGTCAGAACCAAGAAAAGAGAGTGTGTCTGGAGAGAGATGAAGGGTCCACACATTGCATGCTGCCGAGGGTCAGGTCGGATGAGGACTGGGAGCTGGCCCTTAGATGGTCAACATGGTGGAGGTGGGAACCTTGCCCAGGGTATTTTCAGGGACTGTCACCTGGGAGAGTCCGCTGGGGGTGGGATGACGAGGAAACGGGAATAAAGGAGTTTAGGCTTCAGGTCTAGGCGACTCATTCAAGAGCCTTTGCTCTGTAGGGAAGCAGTGTATGGGGTTTGTAGACAGAGCTGAGTGGTCAAGGAGGGTTTTCTTTCCCTATCATGGGAGCCAGTCAGCAAATTGCCAGAGCTGTGAGCACATGCTGGTGAGAAGGACTGGACACCTGTGTCATGGAAGTGACCGGGCAGAGATGGAAGCAGAGATGGGAGGGAAGGCCAGGGGTGGGACAAGGGGCAGGAAGGTGAACAAGTGAGCATGGACATGGCCTTCCGTCTCCACCGGAAATAAAAAGCACTGTCATTGCCAAGAAGGGGAACATTGGAGTGTGGTGGGAGGGTTGGGGAGGAAGAGGGAAATGGTCATCAAGAGTGAGTGGCAGATCCAGGCAGAGGACAGTGGTCTAAGGAAATCAGGCTGATTTTGTACTTCTTCCCAGAGTGTGGGCCATGGAGTGGAATGGGCAGGGCTGAACTTGTCCATTTGCCAGGCAAGTGTAATGACAGGAGAGAGAGAAAGGTTTGCAGAGGGGGTGGAAATAACTGACTTGACCATGGTCTTTAAGCTTTTAACTCATCTGTCCATCTGCTCATCCATTTCCCTTTCATCCATCCATTCTCCATCCATCTTTCCATCCATCTTTTTATCCATCCATCTATACACCCATCCACTCCTCTGTCTGTCAGTCCTTTCATTCATCCATCCAACCATCAATTCTTTCATCCATCCAGCCATCTTTTTATCCAGCCAGGCATCTTTCCACCTGTCTTTTCATTTATCCATCCACCCACCCACCCATCCTGCCATCCACCTATCCAGTGTGTGTTGAGAGTTTTCCAAGTGCAGCAGAGTGTTGTGCTGAGTGCAGGGATGTGGTGATGGAGGGTGAGTGAGGGAATTCACAACCCCTGGGGAGCCACACTTGTTCACAAACTGCTCTGAAGTCATCTGAAGCCATGAGACCTGGCCTGGCAGGGGGACTCTGCTCAGCTCACTCCATCAAGCCTGGCCCTTTGTTGTGGCCCCAACAGACCTGAGAAGAAGGAAGAAAAGGAAAGTGACAAGCACTGTGCAAACCTCTGTGTGCAGGGCACCTGGACGCCCTCTCGGGGTAGACCTGACACTCATTGCTATTCCAACCAGGTCTGCTCTTGGGGCTCTCGGCATGGACTGCACTTCCAAACCTCGTGGGAAAGTTTGGATGTGAAGTTTCGTTGCCCTGGGGTGCATCGCAGGTACGGGTTGTGCAGCCAAGGAAAAGGCCACTCATGGAACCATAGCCCGTTACGCATGGGCGTGGAGGAGACGCAGGGCAGGGGTGTCGAGAACTTCCCAGGACCCACCAACACACCGGAGATGATCACTGCAGATGGGAAACGTACTCAGACAGTGACCTGGGGCCAGTCGGTGGCTAAGAGGGGGGATCAGAGCTCTCCAGGTGCTCTCCAGGGTCCTGGCTCTCACTGGGCTGTGGAACCTCACCTCCCTCTAGACCCCCCAGGAAAGGCTACAGTTGAGGAGGTGGGGGAGAGGGGGCACTGGCAAGATGTAAGTTAGCGAAGGTTCTAATCAAATATTTATCAGTTAATTGATCTCCGGAGGCTGCGGACAGCGCCCTCCCCCTCACCCGGGCCTTTCCACACTCCTGCCTGGCTCTCCGCTTCCCTCCGCTCCTCGCCCTCCCTGCCCTCCCTGCCTCTCCTCCGCCATCCTGGAGCCTGGGTGCTCCTCCACCCCTGGGAGCCTCCCGCCTCGCGGGCCCCTCCTCCCTCGCTCTGAACCCACCCTGGGTCTCGCTGGGCCGGAGCCAGAGGCTGGCCGACTGGGCGATGGGGCTTCTCGGCTACTTGGGAGCAATGAGGCGGGACCCTCTAGCGAGGGGCGGGCCCTCGTGAGTGTGTGCATCTGTGCACACGCCTGTATCCGTCCACTTATCAGGGGCGTGGACTGCCCCAGTTTCTGCAGAGAGAGGGGAAGGACCTGGGGGCTTCCCCAAGGAGGAAGCGGGGACGAGACCTCTTGTTCCGTGTCAGGTCGCCCAGAAGTGAGGGCCGTCAGCACCAAGGCAGAGACTGGCACTGGGGCGGTGGATGGGGGCAGGGTGGAGCTGGGCCCTGGGCTGTTGTGGGGGCCTGCGTCGCTGGCTAGAAGGGAGGTGGGCAGGCAAGCAGACCATGGTGGTGGGGCAGGGCTCTGGCCTGAAGGCAGAAACCAGGTCTTCCATTCAGTCTCCGCTGGCCTCGTGTGGCCAGCCCCTCAGGCCACCTGCCCCACCACGATCGACTCAACATCTGGGGAGTTGAACTAACTCTCCCATCGGACAGCAGACCCCACCAGGGCAGGGACTACCCATCCCGCTCCCCACTGGAATCACGAGCCTGGCACCCCAGCTTCCCAACACACAGTTTGGGGTGAATAGTCACCAATTGAAGGAACAGCAGTGAGCAAGTCGGCATGCCTGCTAGAAGAAGCACATGTTTTGGGGTGGGGGTGGGGAGGTGGACAAGGAGACAGACTCTAAAACTGAGATCAGACACACGGAGGTTGACGGGGGTGGACACGGAATCACGTGTGAGGTCCCCGCTTAGCGGGGCATCGGGAAAGCAGTCAACCATTGCCGTGCATGCAAGGGTCCTTCCATGCTCTGGGGGCGCCTCCTGTGAGAGGTGACCCCTGTCCTTCCAGGTGGTGAGGCTCCTTCTCCCCCAGAGGCAACCTCAGAAGGCCAGGGGGTGCCTCCCCTGCTCAGAGTGGCTGCTGAGAACCTGCCCCCTAGTGTGTGTCCACAGCAAGGGTTGGCCAGAACACCAGTTCTCCCCCCGAACCCACGAGGGACCCCAGTCCCTTATCTGAGGCTGAGAGATTTTCCACCAGAGCTGTTCTTTGTAACCAATACCAGTGGATCTCACAGTCCCCAGACTTGGAGAGGAGGTCTGGGGTGAGCCAAGATCTGCACTGCTGACTGGACCCCAAATGATGCTGATGCTGCAGGTCCCAGCACCCCCTTTGGAGAACCACTGTCCTGGGGCGCTTCTGGGCCTCTCCAGGGGCTTCTCAGAGCCCCAGGTTGGCTGGGGTCAGCATCGAGGGAATACATTTCCCCCTGGGGCAGCAGACCTTTGAGGGTGGGAAGGATCACTGGGACGTCTTGGGGATCCTTGAGACTGAGGCCAGAACCCTCTGTGCCTCACGGACAGCGCCTCACCCTGTGGCCACCATGAGGCCCAGTTGTACGAGGCTCCATGTCTTCACGATCAACTCCGGTCCTCCCCTCTGCAGGCTGTGAATCGTGTCCTCTCACGCCTGCTTACTGATGAGAAAACCGAGGCTTAGAAGCCTTTCTAAGGCCAGAGGGCAGGGGTGTGGCCATCCAGGGCCAAAGGCAGGATCCTGGTGCTGCTGGAAGGTTCTGTGTCTCGACTGGGCCCATGTCAGTCTCCTGGTGGGGAAGGTTTCACAAGCTGTCACCGCTGGGGGGCCCGGCCCTGTAGAGGGTACACGGGGCCCCCCTGAGCTATTTCTTACAGCTGTGTCTGTCTACAGTTATCTCGAAATGTTTAATTATTTTTAAAACTCGCTGGATTAAAAATAAACCTTTAGTGTGCTCGGACCTGACAAATTCACACAAGTGGCTCCAAACCCAGGGGTGTCTCCCCGCAGACTGGGCTCCCCTGAATGCCCCCGGCAGCCCAGCTGTGAGCTGATTGCCCTGTGCTGGGGGATCTCCCCTCCCAGGCGGCCTGGACAATGCTGCTGAAAGTCCACTTTGGGACCACAGGGCCTCCCAGAGAGGCGCCAGTGAAAGGAGGCGGAGTCCCGCCCACACCGCGGTCTAACCAACCTTGCTGTCTCCTCCGCAGGGCAATCAGGACGCCACGGCTCCGCCTGAAGCAATGGCCCAGCCCTACCCCCCGGCCCAGTACCCCCCTCCGCCACAGAACGGCATCCCTGCCGAGTATGCCCCACCCCCACCGCACCCCACGCCGGACTACTCGGGCCAGACCCCGGTCCCCCCGGAGCATGGCATGACCCTGTACACACCAGCACAGACCCACCCGGAGCATGTGGTGTACCCCTAGACGTGGATGTCACCTTCCCTCGCCATGTGGGCAGCATCATCCAAACTCTGGGGAGAGCGCCCACCCAAGCTGCCCCCCACTGAACCAAACCCCCCTGCCCACTTGGAGCGCTGCCGGATGTGAGTCTGCGCCAAGTCCATCAGTCTTCTCGATTCTCCCAGTGTCCCTGGTACAGGGTGTCCGCCACAGATGCCCCCCCAGGGTTCAACGGATGAGAAGGGCAATGTCCACGGGTCTCAGAACAGGCAACCAAACCATACTTCCCTGGCTGCTGCCGCTTCTCATGCCTCAAACTGTGACCTGCATGTGCTCAGAAAAGAGAGGTGAGTGAGGGAGCCAGAGGGGTCCCTGTGAGCAGGTCACCGCCAGCCGGCTGGTCTCTTTCTGATGGACAGCAGCATATGGGGTGAGTCTGGGGAAAACCTCTCATGACCTCCTTGGGAACGAATGCTGACCCCCGCCAGAAGCAAGCCCAGGAGACAAGATGACCAGACTGGCCACTGACACAGAGGAGGTTGAGACCGACTGCTGACGCCTCCGCAGCACAGACAGGCCTCCTGGACCGCCTGACACAGCCTCACTGCGACCCATACAGAATCATCTTCCTTTGGCCAACTTCTGCAGGGACCTGCTTGTGCCGGGCCCCGAGCCAGCATGGGGGTGCACAGGAAGAAGGGCCTGACCCTACCTCGCGGGGGCCATCACTTCCCACCAACCACAGACATTACATGGGCCCCTTTCACTCTTCGAGAGTCCGTGGCCCCGGAGAGGACCTGGGAGTCTCAGAGAGAAGATGCGAGAGCCTCACTGCTCGGTTGAACACCCCACTCCCAGGAAAGTGCCTGGGCCAGAGAGCTGCTGAGCCCAATACCCGGCAGCCTCGGCCTTCCTTTCTCCACGGAGGGGCACTTCAGGTCCTGGGAGGGGGTGAGTCTGCTGCTCTTCCACCACGATACTGAGATAGAGGCCCCTCAGGTGGAAGTTACTGGACTAGCAGGTGATCTCAAAGATACTCAAAATTGCCCAGCAAAGACTTCAGCTGCCACTGCTGCAGGGTGTAGATGCTCCGACCCGGAGTGTTTCTTCCAGCAGAGGCGTTGCACCTTGCGAGGAGCTGGGGAGGGTGGCCACTGCCTGTCCTGCTCGAAGACTCCAGGAGCCACTTCTCTTCAACAAACTCTTGGTCCTCCTAGCCCTGCTGCTCAGCTGTCTTACGTCCATCCCAGATCAGGCCTACGTGGCTTCCCAGAGCCTCCCCCTTGGCCTTCCCCAAGAAGCCTGGTGTCAGAATCAGGAGGTGCGAGGAAGCAAGCAGAGTAGCTCCAGCTTGTGTCCATCCTGCCCTCTCATGCCTGTGGATTCCATTTATCATCATGGCGTCACCTACATTCTTTTATCAAAAGGCAGCAGGAGACACAGTGACTGGGGCTGCTGATGGAGCAGGCCCGCCTCCCTACTCCGCGGGAGCCCCCTGGGGTACAGGTTGGGGACCACCTCCCGGAGCTACCTCATTCTTGCAGGGTTTTACGTGGTCCACTGCAGGTGCCCTCTCCACCCACCTGTCCACCCTGTGCTGTGGGACAGCCACAGGGACGTCCTCTCGGAAACTCCACCTGGAGCAGCAGCCTTTGGTCCCCTGCACTCTTGGCTCTTGGAACTTAAAAGGGAACAGGGTGGACCGTGGTTGGAATACACCACCTCAGGGTGCCGCCTTCATGCAGGCAGGGTGCGAGCAGATGGCGTCATCAGCATCGATGCACCACGAGCGGTGGCCAGCAGAGAGTTCCCGGAGCATGGCGTCATTCACAGTCCAAAGAGGACACACAGCTCCATCTGAGGTCCTGAGGAAGGCTTCATGAGTGGATGGCTCGAGGCCTTGTGGGGAGAACACCTCCTCCGAAGCTGGCTCACCACCCACCAGGGGTGAGCCATGTTGGGCGAGCAGCCAACGGCTATTGCATGGGTGCCTAGGAGTTATCAGAGGACTGAAGATGAGGGGAGAGGGGGCCGCAGAGAAAGAGGGTTTCCTGGAGCTGCTTCCTCTGTGTGGCATCACCCAGCCTTGGTTCTGTCCCAGTGACGGCCCCCAGGCCCTGGCCTGATGCCTGCCACCCCGCCAGACCTACTGACCCCTGCCCACGGCCCTCTCAGCCTCTCCCAGTGCTGGGCTCGGGGAGGCCCAAGCGAAGGGGGCTGCAGACTCTTTGGAGGGTGCAAAAATGGGAGATACACTGTCCCATCCAGAGGGACCGGATGCTGCCTTGAAAGGGGGACAAGGACCGTGTCACCACGTGGGCTAAGATGACATGGAAATGAGGAGGACGCAGAAGCAAAATGGCTGAGAGCAGCTGGGGAGGAAGGGGTGTTGCTGCTGCTGTTTCTCGTTTCCCTGCATTTGAGAACCAAAGGCAAAGATTGCTTTAAAGAAGAAAAAGGAAGTAAAGTCCCTTGGAAGGCGGTGCCAGCTTCCCGGACCGCTGTGATAAATGGTGGGAAGGCCTCCGTCTCCCCTCGGGGCAGCCAGTGCTCTGTTACACTCGGGTTTCTCCACACATCTCACAATTTCACAGTCATTGAACCCATTTACCTGCCTCTCTTTGCAGCTGTGCTTGGGGCCAAGGAGGGCTTTTCTTACTTGTCCTGCCCCCCCATCACCCCGTCTCTCCCACCTCACCCTCCGCTGCTCCCCTAAGGGCCTTTGAGGTGGGAAGAAGCAGGGGGACCCTGGATCTTGGAGACACACAGTGGGCTCAGTTCTGCTATTAGGAGAGGCCCAAGGCGTTGCAGGAAGGACATTCTGGCCCCAGATGCCCCAGCTCCATCAGCGCCCTCCCATGATGCCTCCCCTCCCGCCCAAGGCTCCCCATCTCTGAGTGGGAGCTGGGCTTTCCCACTGCCACCACCCACTGTAGTCCTGGCCACCAGCTTGTGCTGACCACTGCCCTCTGCCGGCCCAGGGTCAGCATTGCATGCTCCTGTCCCCCTAGTTTCCCAGATCCCGAGTCGGTGAGTCACCTGTACCCAGGAGCAGCCAAGGCACAGGTGTGTGAAAGACATGGGTGGGAGGGTGACGGGACACTGGGCCCAACCTGACCACCTCACAGAAAGAGCCACGGCCTGTTGTAGCCAGAGGGCGGGGCTCAGGCTTCTGAAGACTCAGCAGATGCACGGCCAGTTCTGCCTTGGTTTGGGGGCACAGACGGGCTCCCTGATGGTCAAGCCCAAGCTTGCTTCCTACAAGGAAGAGTGGAACAAGGGAGGAGGAGGACAGCCGGACGGCTTGGGAAGGGGCTGAGCAGTTGGGCTTCTCCAGGTCCTGGGCTGGGGGGAGAGGAGCCCCCACATGTCCCCCAAAAGCCCAAAGGCAGCTGCCCCGCTTTGTCCATCAGGAACGAGGGCACGTGCAGGCCAGACCAGGAGTCTCGGAGACCTGCCACCTCACTCCCCCTGACCAGCTGTTCGTCCCCAGACTGAAGGGGGGCTTCTGGTGTCAGCACTTGTTGGTGAAGCCCCAGGAACAAGTGCGGAATCACCTGCAGTCCTACACTTGGCTCAGAGAACACACTCTCATCAGAAATGGGCCTGCCATGCATGGGGTGGCCAGTCAGCTGAACCCCAGGTCACACATGTCCCCAGGCACACGAGGAGATGGTGGTTTCAAACCCACGTGTAGGATCGCCTGCCGTGTGCTTCCTCTCAACACAGGAATACAGAGCTGAGTCTAAGGGGCCTTTGAACAGGATACCCCCACACTCCTGCAGCCCTCCTGAACCCCCTCCCCTCCCCTCCTATCCCCTATGGCATCTGCTACCCTGGGGCCTGGCTGAGCACAGGAGTTAGGGGAGCAGCCCTATCCTTCCAGAGAGGATGACTCAGGTGGCCACTGAGGCCAGCCACTCAGGAGTCCAGAGACAGACCTCCAGCCAGTGGCCTTGGCGAGGGCCAGTCCTCAGCCACAGCATGAAGCCTCAGGTGCAGTGAGCTCGCCTTGCTCACCGTCCTGGGTCCGGGAGGCACCAAAGCACTCCTTTGGTGGACAAAACCCACCAGAAGCAAATGGGCAGTTGCCAGTGACCCGTGGGAGGCACACACCAGCCCCTCTCCTCTCAGCTGTCCTCGTAGCGTGTCTGCGGCCCAACCTCTCTCCGCCGGCCACATGGGAGACCGCAGCCACCAGGACTTCCATTTGTGCAAAGTCCACCCCAGCCTTGAGGACCCTGCCCTTCCCCCTTCACTCTCTGTAGGAGTATGGGACAGGAGCCAAACCCCCTGACTGTCACCTGGAATCCTGACCCAGAGGAAGACCCCCCCACCACCAGACAAAGGTTCAAGTCCAAGCGGCGTACTGGGGAGGCGATCCCAGGCGATCCTGGCAGGGGGATCAGGACTTGAGACAGGAAGAGGAAAGAAGCAGTAAAAGATGCTTTCTCAGCTGGTTGTGCCCACAGGGGATGGGGACACACAACATCAGAGGAGAGCCCCAGAGGAGCCCCACATGAGAGAATGGCATCTGTCCAGTCACCCAGTCTGTCATCAGCTCTGCTTCTGGACGCTAAGCGACACAGAACGCCGGAGATGCCAGCCCCAGGGTCATGATGAGGCCCCTCGGGGGCCCTCCCTGCACTCACCATGCCCAGCCTGCCCTTGCCCTGGGGATTCAGCAGGGACCCATCAGGCTGAAGGGCAGCCTGGCTGTGAGCTGGTGGCCTGTCCCCATGGGGGTCCCCATTGAGGAACCTCACACATGTGCCCCGTCCACTCGCTGCACCGCACTGCCTCGAGGCCTCTTCATGGCCTTGACCTCTTGGGGAGCTGGTCTGGGGGACAGGGCGGGGAGGTGGTCCTTGCTTTGTGGCAGCTTTGTTTTGAGACCCGAGTCTTTCAGAATCCCTCTGTTGATCAATGTTTGGGTCCATCCAGAATCCGGACCAGCTCTGAGGCACTGGAGGTTGCCACCCCTTGAGCCCTGGACAATGCAGAGACCCAGAGCAGGGCTAGAAGAAGAGGCAGTCTGGGGGTGGCCTCCCCGGGGGAGGAGTAGCATCCTTACTGAAGTGTGTGCCATGAGTGGCTTCCGAAACCTCTCCACTTTCTCATCAGGCTGGAAACCCCCAACGTTCCCTGTCCTCCCAGAGCTCGGGCTGTCGGGAGGGTACACTCACGACCTCAAGAGCTGTGATAGCCGAGGGCCCACTGAGGTCGGGCCTCAGTGGGCAGGCTGAGCCACAGGGTGGGAGGGCACGCTGGGCCAGGGGGGCCTCGCTCTGTGATGGCATCACAGACACCGCTCGGGAAAAAGCCCAGAAGGGGGATCTCTGAGGTTGAAATGCTGCTGTGAATCACAGGCAGGGGGGAGTCCGCCAGGCTTGGGGAAGACCTGGTGTCTAGGCCCTGCCCTGCTATGGGGTGGGAGCTGAAGAGGGGCACCTCCCAGCCCGGCTCCTCTCCCCACAGCAGACAGACGAGGCGGCACAGACGGACAGCNAGATGACGCGGCGCCCACGGATGGCCAGCCCCAGACACAGCCTTCGGAAAACACGGAAAACAAGTCCCAGCCCAAGAGGCTGCATGTCTCCAACATCCCCTTCCGGTTCCGGGATCCGGACCTCCGGCAAATGTTTGGCGTGAGTACTGCCTTTCTTCTCCTCTGCACTGCCCGCTCCGGGGCCCCCAGAGTCCTCTCCTCCTCCTGTAATTTCTTGGTATTCATAATACAAAGTGAGCAGCGGTGGGGGGAAGGCATTTTAGATCCTAGTCTGTGGGTATTCTTTGGCCAGGATCTCCATGATTTTAGCATAAATTTCTCTGCTATGTTCACCATGTTTGCACTTGGACCAATGGTACTTCTTCAAGTTTGTAACTTGAATGTCAGATGGAAAATAAGCTCCCAGGTGCTTGAAACAAGCTCATTGCTGATCCCCTGTCAAGAGCCTGGGGACCCATGTGACAGCTAAAATTGTTATGGGTCATCTTGGTTTTTCTCTCTATGGCGGTTGCCAAATTATTGGGAAGAGTGACTCATGACATATTTCTGCAGACCTTGCTCTTTCTCAGGTACTGAGCATTTAGATCTCAGAGGTGATTGTAGAGAATAATTAGTTCTGCATAAAGCCTTGTTAAAACAAAACCACTGCAGATTTCAGAGTCTGACTTGCATCCTGCCATATACGTTCTTCTGGAATCCGTGGTGAGGGTTCAGAGATTTAACTTCTGAGATTATATGCCAAAATGACAGTCTTGCCCAAGCACCGTGACCAAACAGCGAGCAAGGCAGAAGCAACCCGGAGAAAAGAAATGATACAGTCGCTTGCTCAGGGGACACTGTGACCCTGATTCTCTTTCGGAATGACCTTTGCACCATCCACCTTGGGAAGGGATGAGCCTGCCATCTCTTTGGGCTCAGTTCCACCAAAGGACAAAGCTATAACAGAGCTTGGATATCATTCATTTTTTTGGAACTACAGTCATAGTCCCTTTGTCTGTGTCAGCCCAGCATTGGTGGGAAATGTCTGTGGATTCAATGAACAAAACTACATCCTTAACGTTTGACTTAGAGTGAGGGTTGGCTGCCCAGAGAGTCCCCTTCGAAGAGCTTTTGGATGGATGCAGATATGACAGAAGGAATAAGAAGAGGCTCAACTTGCCAAGTCTAGGTCTGGACCAGGTAGACCTCATTCTCCATATGAAAACACCAGCTCTGTGTCATCATTCTTCAATGATGGGATGAACGCGCATGTTTTCTTTAGCATGCATGATGTTTATCAAGTATGCCTCGGACACAAAAGCCACAGAAGTGTCCTCATAGCTAAGATACCCAGGCCTGAATCCTGACATTTCAGTGGAAAAGGTCAGCTTGTGCTCTTTTATCTCTCTCATTTGGTAATAACCTTGAGTTGAGCCTCTAACTCTTGCAGAGCAGAGATACCCTCGGGCAATTTCAGGTCAAAGATGACTTTGAAAAGTGCAGAGCATTCAGAGTTAAAGTCGAGGTTAAGTGTGTGTGAAGTGAGGAGACCAGGTTTGAATGATGGGCAGCCTGAGGAATTAGATCCCTTTTGTCAGGTCGGGTTCAAAAGTCATCTCGCTCTTCAATCTGTCTTAACTCATCAAGTGTCACTGGGATGTTGACTTGGAATTTGGTCCTCTTAATGACCATCCTGTGCTCTTTTCAGGTGTCACTCATTGCAGTAGACCCCAATCCCACCCCCGAGGAGGGCTGTACGGTCTCTGGTCTTCTTGGTTATCTTGAAAGTGACCAGAGGGCTCCACTGCCAAGGTATTCAAAATATTCAGAGCTAGATGCCAAAAACGGATCCTACTTGCATGAATATCTGAACCTCTCTGTTCTTACTGGGTGGTACAGGAGAGGTGGTACACAGCCAAATTCTTGCCAAAAGAATGGTCGTGCTACCAGGTGTCAAAGCTTGATCAGAATCTACTAGCTTCAGAGATACTGTTTGTAAAAGTCAGAATATTTCAAGCAACTGACAAGATGTCGATTTGACAAGATGATAGATACACTTAGGATCCATCTATCTGTTCAGAAAATGCAGCACACAGTCAGTCATCCTGAAATTAATTCAGTTCATCACAAGCTGCCTCTATGTCCATTTTTAAAAGTATGCAAGATTTTTTGGTGGGCTTCTGCAGCACAAGAGTAAAGAGACTTTCTTTCCCAAAGTCCCTGACACCTGTCAGAGCTCTGAACAGGTTCTGTATCCAGGCATCCTCCAGCCATGACGTTTGCAACCCCTACATGCCTATCGGTTACCGCAGGTGCCTCAACGTTTCATTTTAATCTGTGGCTTTGGTGCCTCTTTGTCACAATCCTCGTTTCCCTTCTTCCACAATTCACTTTATATCCTTTACTTCCTCCTCTTTCAGATGAATGTGTTCCAGTATTTGGCATGAAACCATCCAGATCATCTTAGATTTCCTAGGGTTTCCCTTTCAGATGGAACATCCCTTGGTCAAAAAATTTTGTGGCCACTATGTCCATAGCAGAGGCCAGAGCATTTTTCATTATTTATTTTTGGCTACTCTAGGTCTTCGTAGTTGCACGTGGGCTTTCTCCAGTCATGGCGACCAGGGGCTACTGTTTATCATGGTGCAGAGGCATCTCCTTGTGGTGGCCTCTCCTGTTGCAGAACACAGGCTGTAGGGCATGTGGGCTTCAGTATTTGTGGCACGTGGGCATACTTGCCCCATGGCACGTGAGATCTTCCCTGACCAGGGATCAAACCCGTGCCCCCTGCATTGGCAGGCGGATTCTTAACCCCTGGACCACCAGGGAAGTCCAGAATCCAGAGTCTTTTTTAAAACATCAGTTGGCATGTGAATGAATGGATCTCTTATATTATCAGGGGCCTTGGTGCTGGAGGTTTCACTGGAAAGGATGTGGGTTCTGGCCCTGCTACCTTCTTCTTGAACATGTCAGAGGTCGCAATAGAGCATGTGTTTCCTTTCCATTTGAATTCTCCATGAGCCCATGAAAGCATTGTATGGATTGCCTTCAAATTAATCACAATGCCTTGGTCTTGAATTAAAAAGCTCAGCTGAACCTAATATTTAAAAGTAAGCATTTGTGGAGAGAAGTAGTTACAGACTCCTAGGCAGCTAGTCGGTCAAGAATCCGCCAGCAACGCAGGAGACACGGGAGATGCGAGTTCAATCCCTGGGTTGGGAAGATCTCCTGGAGGAGGGTGTGGCAACCCACTCCAGTATTCTTGCCTGGAGAGTCTCATGGACAAGAGGAGCCTAGAAGGCTACAGTCCATGGAGTCACAGAGAGTCAGACATAACTGAAGCGATTGAGTATGCATGCTCACATGCAGAGGTAGTTCTAGATTTAGACCACTGAGACAAGCCATTCTATCCGAGAGTTGTCTTCAGTAACAGCTACTCAGGGAGTCCTGGGTTCAGATTTTACCTCATCCTTGTCCATGTGATAGCTGTGCTTTCGTTATCAAAATGCAGGCCTTCTGGGCCTGAGTATGACCCACTGAAGTCTGTGGCTTTCAGAACACGCGGAAGAAACTTTCATTAAAAGCAGAAGAAGAAGGAGAGGAGGCTTTCGTGATTACTTTTTAAATAACAAAACAGAGATATTTTCAGACCTGGCTTGGTGCCTCCTCCTGCTCCCACATCCAAAACTTGAAGCTGGTCCTAAGAAAACTAGGATGTTGCCTTTCCTTAGCTGCCATGCACATTCTTTGAACTAAGCTTCCTTTCATTTTTTATACTGTATCCATTGAACACCTTTCAGAGGTTTTCAGGGAAATATTATTTGATCTGAGACGGTCTAAACATGGGCGGTACCTCTTGGCCCAAGTGTATGCCTGTAAGTTCCCAGATTTTAGCCTTGACGCATCTGTCGAGACCCCTCGGGTGGAAACTGAGACGCTGTTGAAGACAGCTGAGTGCCGGTGTTGGGCAAATAGATCCTAGTTATGTCTGCGAATGAGTCGTGTCTATTTGAATTGAAAATGAGCCAGCTGTGTTTACATCATTAGTACCAAACTTCCCAATTAAACTGTTGATACTATAAATATAGTACACAACTGCCTTAGAAAGGGGGCTTACATCAGCATTCTTCTTACGGCTTGTTTCACTGGCTTTGAGAAACTTCCACCCTGTGGCAACTGCCAAACATTGGAGACCATTTCGGGGCATCTGGTGCCATTGTTCCGTTTAGGGAATGACACATGAGAAGATTACTCTGATTGGTGCTGTCTCAACCGGCAGCTTCCCAGGTGGCTCAGTGTTCAAGGATGCACCGGCCAGTGCCGGAGACACAGGAGACTCAGGTTTGATCCCTGAATCAGAAAGATCTCTTGGAGGAGGCCTGACAGCTCAGTCCAGGAATCTTGCCTGGAGAAGGCCATGGACAGAGGAGCCTGGCGGGCTACTGTCCGTGGGGTCGCCAAGAATCAGACACAACTGAGCAATTGAGCACACCTGTATCTCAATCAGATATTTTTTCTCTTTCTTTCTTTCTTTCTCATATTTGTTCCACTCATCCATGTATTCCCAATCCCCGTTTACTGGCATTGACTTAATATAGTTATGAGGTAGCTATTTCCCATGTGTAAGGAGCATGGTGGAAATGAAGCAGGACCCCATGAGGTTTCTAGGCACAAAAGTCTTTCTGTGTCCCTGTCTCCGATGGGCAGGTTCAAAGAGCTACTCGTCAGGGAAGGGAGGGGAGGCTGAGAAAAGGCAGGAGCAGTCAGGAAACATGAGTGCAGCCTTGGGGCAGGCCTTGGTTTCCTCATAAGGGATACACATTGCAATATCTTTGAGCTCTTCAGCAGAACTATAACCTCCAACAAATGGAAGATGCTAGCTATTTGATGCATCACTCCTCATTCCAGAGAAAGTCACAGTTCACTCATCACCACCTGAGACCAAGTGATCTCTTCAACCGGATCTGACTTTAAAGGAAGTGCATTTGTGTTGACTGCTTCAAGAAGGTTCCGTGGATGACATTTGCTTGTTGGTTTTAAAGGAAGTCCTTTCCAAGTTTCTCTATTCATAAATATGTGTGCTTCCGTTCTCTTAGGCCCAAAATATACATGGTAGCATCTGTGTGGACTGAATATCCTAAGGGGATTATATCAGAATGATGGCTTCTGAGATAGTCACATAGCTAGAGGATTTTTTTTTTTTAAACCATTCACTTCACCTTTCAACGCATATCTTGCATTTCTCAAATCTGAAAATCATCTTCTCTTTTTAACAATTTTCTCTGCCCAAATCTAGGGCATGGAAAAAGCCGTAGAGCCATCTTGTCTTCACTAAAAGAATTCGTAAGTGTCCACTAACTGCAGGGTGAGTGGGTTGCATGTTTCCTGGTGTGTCCATAGGGCATGCCAGCCATGTAGACTGTCTGTCTTCTCTCCTGGTTGAGCCTTCTCTTCTTGGTTTCTGTCTCTCCTTCTCCCTGAAGTCGAGAAGCACAATAAGAAGCTCAGTAAGAAAATTTCCAGTCTGTAATCCCCAGGCTGAGTACATATCCTGAGGGATGGGTAACTTTCTATGGCCCAGGATGACTTAAGCTTTGGATTTCTTTTTCTCATAGTCAGAACTACTTTCATTTCAAGGTTTTAAGCTATTTATATTCAATTGGAGTCTGCGTTTTTCTCTTTCTGAGGGAACGTAGATTTATTTGTATGTTCCAGAGGATAGTATCTGAATATTCTTCTCTTTTTTCTTTTTGAATCTCAGTAAGATCTTCTTGGCATTTACAGTCTGGGCCTCTCAGCATCCTCTGAGTGGGGCACATCGGTCAGGCGAGCTGGCCCCCGGTTCTCTGAGTTCTAATTGCTTGTTCCCTTTCTCTCCTGCCCCTCCTACCCCATCACCCTGTCCTCTGCGACACAGAAGCTGTGTAAGGCTTTCCACCCAGGGGAGAGGGACAGAATACAGAATTTCCTAAGGTAATAAAAGATGTAATAAAAACACCCAGGCTGCAAAAGCAAAAAGCAAAGACGTTGCTGTTGTTCAGTCGCTCAGTTGTGTCCAGCTGTCTGCGACCCCGTGGACTGCAGCACGCCAGGCACCCCTGTCCTTCACTGTTTCCCAGAGCATGCTCAAATTCATGTCCATTGAGCTGGTGATGCTATCTAGCTATATAGCTTTGACTATATGGACCTTTGTCGGCCAAGTGATGTGTCTGCTTTTTTAAGGAAAGTTCCAAATCAGGGGAAAAGAGCCTGGAAATATTATTTTATGTATTTCTTTACATGTATTTTAATCCCTGAAACAAGCATTTGCTCTTATTCTGCATCAGGGTAAAATTTGTCTCTGATTTTCCCCTGGGCCTCATCACTTATTTTTATGCCACCCTCTCCTACCTACCTTTACATAGAACACACTATGCTCAGAAAATGCCCACTCAACCTCATGTGATCTAAGAAAACAAAAAGCATTCCAGCCTCAGGGGGCAGGATTTAGGATTATCAAATGCTTCTGGTTCAAGGTCCTCGTTCTCATTTTTTTTTTTTAAGTGTGAATCACAGATTTCTTAATGTGTGTTTGTCAGGAGGACTACAGGAAATAGTCACTAGTTGTACTAAGTTACAAAATGCAAGACACAGCAGTTGCATGTGATTTCAGATAGCAAGTGTTTTAGTAAATTTAAGTTTGACCCAAACATTGTGTGGCAGTGGTGGTTTCGTCTCTAAGTTGTATCCAACTCTTACGACCTCATAGACTGTAGCCTGCTATAGTCCTCTGTCCACAGGATTTCCCAGGCAAGAATACTAGACTGGGTTGCCATTTCCTTCTCCAAGGCATCTTCCCGACCCAGGATCTGCGTCCTGCCCTGCAGGAGTATTCTTTACTGGTTGAGCCATCAATGAAAGCTCCATTGTGTGGGGTATACTTATTCTGAAAAACCTAAAATTTAATGGAACAGCTGTAGTTTATTGGGATCACTTTGTCATCTGAGATGTTGTTTCTAGGTTTGAATATGTTGAGTTTCTTACATTGTTCAGAAAGCCTATTCATGCTAATCGTCTAAAATCTATGTGTTTGTTTAACAATATGGAGAATCATCTTGCAAGAAAGACATTTCAGCCTGAGGATAGACAGCTACAGTGGTTTCTTGCTTGTAAAGGGTGTCTGTGTAATGGATCTTCCTTTTATCTTTGCTTCTCTTATATGGCCTGGCTACTCCTGGCTTTTATGAAACCAAGGTCCAAAATCCTAAACATCTCATTCTAGTTGGATATTTTAAGTTATCAAAATCCCATTTCACTAAGGATGTTTCATCCAGTGGCTAGTGACACAGCCTAGAAGGACTGTTGTACATACTAGCTGTCTTTAACGTCTGCTGCTCAGTGCCTTGGAAAGCAATCAATCATACCTTAAGAAAGAAAACTAGAATTAACCTCCTGCTTACATACTTGGTACTGGGTCCCTAATTATGATATCTCATATGATGGGTTATGCCATAATATGGAAATAACACATGCTGTTGTATCTTCTCTTGGTTCAAGTGCATCATTTAATGATAGGAAAACATCAAATGAATATCCTTGATATTAAAACAGAGAAAAATTCTGACTTGGGGAACAATTACCCATATGCGTAATCTGATTGACTCTGTTTCTCTTCTTGCTTATAAACTATTTCTATTTTTTTGCAGCAATTTGGTAAAATCTTAGATGTTGAAATTATTTTTAATGAGCGAGGCTCAAAGGTAAGCAACTTCATTCACTTTAGACTGGTTTAGCTTTGTTTTGAAATGCTTGTTATAATTACGGGGAAACAACTGCACTGTTTTAATCAGCACGTTGTGAAAATGCACTTCCGTGGGAATTCCTTTAGGGACCACCCCCCTCACCCCACCCCCGTTTCCAAAATGATGGGGGATACACTGGATTCAATTTAAAATGTATAAGGGGGTATTTGAAAATGGCTGTTTTATAGATGTCTATATATCAAGTTTCCAGAAGAAAACTACCCGTGCTTAAAGAAATAATGTTGTTGCTGCATTTTTGTTTTTCAGTGATAATTATGTTCTTTATATTAAAAAGTGAGTTCATAGTCTCATGAGCAGGTAAATATGTGATTATTCTGTATTAATAAAGTGCAGTTATTTTCCTGGGTTGTAGGGGAGAAAATCTCATATACACCAACCTTTTGAATAAAATTTAATCCATTAGTCTGTGTACCCAACCACATTTTGCAATTTGCCATTGCTCTGAGTTAGTTTTTTCTAGGAAACCAATTTTTAAGTAGATTTTTCTTACAAGTAACAGTGTTAGTAAAAATCAGAGGTTAGGGATTTCCCTGGTGGTCCAGTGGTTAAGACTTCACCTTCTGAAGCAGGGGGTGTGGGGTTCGATCCCTGATCAGGGAACTAAGATCCCACCATGCCTCATGGCCAAGAAAAAACAAAGCATAAAGCAGAAGCAATATCGTAGCAAATTCAATAAAGACTTTAAAAATGGTCCACATTTTTAAAAAATTCATTTTTTTAAAATCAGAGGCTATATGGTTGAACTCCAGCATCTTCAAAATGCAAACATATTGATAGAAAAAAAAAAAAAAAAGCCGCCAAACTCTTCTAAAGCATCTTCTGTGTCAGTGGTCATCTAGGACCAGTGCCCACACCAGCTGCAACATCTGGAAATTTAGCAGAAATGCAGAGTCTCAGGGTCCAACCGAGACCTATTTTATCAGATCCTCTGATATTGGGGCCCAGCAGTCTGTGTTTTAGCAAGCCTCCCAGGGCTGTGGTTAAAGTTACAAATCCCATGTCTCCTTATTCTCACCGCACGCCCAGGCTTCATTTGAATGCAGACTACCCCATGGCCCACTGGGATTTCATAGTGGCTCAAGAGTTCTCCTTCTGCTTGCACTCTCAGAAAACACAGGAGCCATCAGACTCTCCCTGGACGAAAGTGGTGCTCTGGGCAGAGCAGCAGATGCTGTGAGAAAGGTGAAAGAAGTGAAAGTGAAAGCCACTCAGTCATGTCTGACTCTTTGTGACCCCATGGACTCTACAGTCCATGGAATTCTCCAGGCCAGAATACTGGAGTGGGTAGCCTTTCCCCTCCCCAGGGGATCTTCCCAACCAAGGGATCGAACCCTGGTCTCCCACATGGCAGGCGGATTCTTTACCGGCTGAGCTACCAGGGTGCTGCCAGAGACTTGGATGTTGACATCAGGACCTAGGAAGTGAACACATCCTATAACTCTGCCTGGCTTCTAGTCCCCCAGGAACGTTCAGCTTCCTTCTCACTTCCCCAGACTGTGAAAGTCAAAATGGAGAGAAATTCATTCCCAAACACAGAGAGATCGCAGGTTCCCTTATACAGACTGTTTGGGACAAGCCAGTATCCAGGAGTGTTACTTAGAGGAACACGTTTTGGGACTTCCTAGGTGGTCCAGTGGTTACGACTCTGCATTTCCATTGCAGGGGCTGTGGGTTTCATTCCTGGTCAGGAAGCTAAAGTTTCATATGTCATGTGGTATAATAAAGAAGAAGAATGGGTTTTATCTAAGGGAAGAGGGTGCAAAAGCCAGTCTCCTGGGTATAGGAACCACCACCTCCCCACAAAACAATCATTTATGATTCCTTGGGCAGCCTACGTAGGTTTTATGTTAATTGACAATGTTAACTGAATTGTATTAACTGAATAGGAGAATGCTGATTGAATTGAGGAAAGAAAATGCCAGTATTTTCTTTGTCACAGCCAAAATGGATGGTGTTGTGATATGCTGGAGGAGTAAAAAAGAAAAAATAAATAAATTCATTACACTCTGTAGTTCTTCTACTTTAGGGGCCTTGTCTTTCTGTTCTAATTTCAGATATTTAAAGTAATCCTTATAATATGTCAGTAGTTTGACCTCCAGGCGGGAAAATAAGTTAACTCTTTTTCTGCCCTGGTATGAAAAACCATTACAGGGACTTTTTCTACATGTACAAAGCCAAGTGCATTAAAAGAAAAATGTGCCTGATCCCTTTCACTTATGTCAGATGTATTCTGGGTGAAATTGTACAAGATGATATGGAAATTTGGCCAACTTTCTTTTAATCCTGAGTCCAAAGCACTACTGCCTTTAAAGTTTTCTTTTCTAAATTCATACTTCATATATATTTTGTTTTGTGACTTTTGCCAGTTGGAGGAAATGGTTTAATTTTTTTCCAGAGTTGTTTAAGGACATTAGAAGAATATCGTTTGTTATTCTGAAAGTACAATGGTGATGCTATTTTTAAGATTTCTTCCGTCATTCCTGTGATGAGCCTGTCTCTGGGGCTTTAGGAATAAAACCATTTAAGTTTGCCGCATCCAGAGACTGATTTTGTGAAGCTGTGAAGCTGCGTCTTTTTTTTTTTTTTTAATGAAGAAGCATTAAAAATAGCCTCTCTCAGTGGGTTTGCTGAAAGATCCAGTCTTGCAGCTGTCGGAGCTGACTGGTACCACTGGAGTATCCTGGAGACGGTCCAACTGGGAACTGCTGAATGGTTGTAGCAACCCGTACAGGAATATCTTTCATAATTGAAAGTGAAAGTGTTAAGTCGCTCAGTCATCACCAATGCTTTGTGACCCCCTGGACTGTGGCCTGCCGGATTCCTCTGTCCGTGGAATTCTCCAAGCAAGAATACTGGAGTGGGTTGCCATTCCCTTGTCCAGAACTTGATGTTATCCTTAATGGGGAAAGTCTTATGTAAGGGACATTTCCATTTCAATGGTCGAGAAGCCTACACCATTGGAATGACCTCATTTTCATCATTTGATGGTGGAGAAGCAGCCAGGAAATGGGAGAGCCCTTACGAGCTAGGAGCTCACCTTCTGGCAATTGTCTTTGGGGACCTTCCCCAGGACGGTTGCTCAATATAGACTGAGGATGGCTGTGTGTCCTGGGGGTGGTTGGTGTGTATGTCTGTGTGTCTCTGTGCATGCGTGCATGTACATCTGTCCATACACAGACAATGTCTATATTATCCTGAGAATATATAATGTACAAACTCATGTGCATATGGATAGCATGTACAAGGAAATCACATTTTAAAAGGATCTTCCAGAGTTTGAAAATGCAGTGAGCTGGCACATCGGGGGTGAGAGAGCCTATCATTCAAGTTTCCTTTTAGGAGATTTTAAAACATTGTGTTTACCTCTGAAACATTTTATCTGGGGGGATAGACAGAGATGGCTATGTTTTCATAGACCTAGGAAATGTGCAGTCTGCTCTTTGATTCAGTGATATCTATAGTAATGGGCTTGGGCCCACTGGTGGCTCAGTGGTAGAGTCCTCCTGCCAATGCGGGAGTCGAGGGTTTGATCCCTGGGTCAGAAAGATCGCCTGGAGAAGGGAATGGCAACCCATTCCCAGTATCCTTGCCTGGGAAACCCCAAGGACAGAGGAGCCTGGCGGGCTGCGGTCCATGGTGTTGCAAAAGTGTCAGACACGACTTGGCAACTAAGACAAGAAACATAGTATTGGTTTCACTCCAGTACCAGACTAGTGAATTGGATATGAGAGAGACAGAAGTGCTTCCTGTCCTCAGACTTTCCTGAGTATCTGAGAGACAGATCCTTAAGACAGACAAGTGTGATACAGTTTGCTATGATCCCCAGTGAATGAGAGGCTGCTGAGACTCCAAGCAGGCAGATCCATCTCGTTGAAAGCTGGGAAGGCTTCTGGGAAGAAGGGGCATTTCAGCTGGGAGAGAAAGATAAGTAAGACTTGCCCCAGGGGAGGGAAGGAAGAAGGATGGTCTTTTCGGGAGAAGGAGCTATGTGGAGAAAGGTGATTGGGAACAAGTGTGCTGTGAAGCCCTTAGTGCCGCAGGAAAATGAGTCTTCAGATCTTTAATCAACAGCTCCTCCTCTTCTCGGTGATCGGAGCTGTCTGCCCCAGAAACTGGAGGAATCGAGTTTTCATGTAAGCTGACAAGTCAGTACAGCATCCATCCTGGGTGCTTCAAAGCCTTGATTCGTGCTCTAAATGTTCTATTTGTGTTACTACAAAAACATAGCCCACAAGACGAAAAGAGAAAAATAACTGGGATACAGGAAGGCCAGAATGTGCATTTCACAAAAAGATGGAAAAATAAGTAAGTCTTGGCTGGCCCATGTTAGGGTTGCCGTTATCTGCCTAGGGCTTACGCCTTCCCATCACAGGGCACAAACATCGCAGATGTCTTCTGCAGGGCTGTGCCTTCTCTCAGCCACCTCCCCAGCACCACCCGCCCAAGGTAAACCTTGGGAAGTAGCATCTCTCCTCCATCTGACTCCTCCCTGCCCAATGTAGCCTCTCCTGCATCCTTGACCTTTATATGGGATCATTGCAGCTTACTCAGTTCCTGTGTTCTCCGAGCCACATCCAAAAGGTGCTTCTTTTTGAAACTGAGATTAAAAAAAAATATTCAGAGTAATTTTAAGAATATGCCAAGTATTGCATTTTGCCTAAGACAGAATACTGACCATGAAGTGAAAGTGTTAGTTGCTCAGTCACGTCTGACTCTGCGATCCCATGGACTGTAGCCTCTGTCCATGGAATTCTCCAAGCAAGAATACTAGAATGGGTAGTTATTCCCTTCTCTAGGGGACCTTCCCAACCCAGGGACTGAACCCAGGTCTCCCACATTGCAGGCAGATTCTTTACCATCTGAGCCACCCAGGAAGCCCACTGACCAAGAGGCAGGGCAACAGAAACAAGCTTTGTTGCCACCGACTTTCCAAGTTGCCAGCTTCTGTGTCTGATGGAGTGGGTGCCTGAAAATGGCCAGGTGGCAGTCTGTCTGGCCCTGGTGTGGCTCCCCAGATAAGCACCTGGCTATCTTCTGATCCAGGGATGTCACATGACTACTTGGCTGGGTGGAGGTAGGATGGTCCCATGGGACATGCCCTTTGGCATTTGTGGGACTGTTTCTGCAGCAAGGTCTTCATGAACCCAGCTTTGCCAAATTTCAACTAGGCTTCTCAGCAGGTTGAAATGAGATGTATTGAACCACTCAAAAAAAAAAGTTTAGCAGAAAATATTAAGAGTAAGAATAATAATAATAAAGAATCAATATATTAGTTTTACTTCAAAGCAAAGTAAAAATGTAGTAGAATTCCTCTTTAGTTTATGAACTTGGGATTCAGAAGAGGTTTCTATTTCTAGTTTCATCTCTCCCTCCTATCCAGGATGCAGATTTTAGGCCAGTATGGTTTGCCCAGGATTTAGATTGGAATCTTTATGACTCCACTTGTGGGGACTGTGTTATTCAAGTGGGTTGAGTGTTCAGTTCTTCCTAGCACTGCAGTGAGAATGACTGCTGGTACCCATTAGCAGCAATGATGGCACCAAATCCTCCATGGATAAATCACA